CATCGCCCCAATGTATCCGATACCGAAAATATCGATACTTTTTTCGTGTCCCTAGATACAAGCTATCGAGTTTTTTTTCGCGTGGTATACACGGACCTAAGAAAAAAAGTCTCTGGCTCCTATATCTTCTATGATTGACGCGTTAAAGCATACGGACAGAAGGGCAGGGCTTAATCGACTCGGTTTGTCGCCCTGATCAAGAATATATATACCACGCCTCCTTCTGCCTGTTACAAACTTTTCACAAAACCATTATACCCTCCTTTCTCATTTTTAATGGGTTTAGGCAATAAAAACACCTCAAAAATAATGTAAAGATTTTTTACTCAGTTCAATTATAATTATAATTATCAAACAAAGTGTAAGAAAACTAATTGGTCGCGATGTTGCAATGTAGTTACTGATTACATATATGATAATAATATTTTAGTTCTCAGAGAAGGTAGAGATCATAGAATTGATGACAAACTCAATGCAGGAGGACTCAGCCTTTTAAATGTTTTCTCTGGCCTGTGCAGGGTGGCTGATGTTGGGATTGGGTTGGGCTTGGCCTGGTTTGAGCATCTTGGGGCTGCTGGCCTGTATTTGACAGCAATTAACAGGAGCAGAGGGTCATAAATATTGTGCCTTAGCTGCCTTTTGTTGGCACTCCTGCGGATATTCTTGCCTGTTGTTTACTCTGTCGGCATGCTTGATTGAGCTTGAAGCTGCGCCTCATAAAATCTGCGCTCGAGTCGAGCGCGTAATTATACTTTTCAATTATGCATAATTATGTGCAGAGAGCAATTTTTGTTTTGTCGCTTAAAGCTGAAAGTTTAAAGTGCAGCGGCAACGGCCCGCCCGCTATCCGTGCCCGTTATGCGATATCCCCTGGACGGACTAAGGCGAGGCGACCGCATTCGCATTTTTGTGTGCCTTCCGCTGCCCCTGCTGCGGTTGGCATTGGCCATGTCGTGGCAAGGACAAAAACAAAAGCAAAGACAACATGAACGAGAATGGGAGCGCAGCACAGTGCAGCACAGTGCAGCACAGTGCAGCGCAGTAGGTAGCAGGCAGACATAAATCAGGATTTTCGCAGCCTGGGCCACAAATGTTTTTTAAAGGATTCGCCGTGGGTGCTGCCATAGCTGCCGCAACCGCAATAATAACTGGGTGGGTTCGCTGTAGTCGACAATCGCCGATAATCTTATGCAGTATGTGTATGTGTATGTGTGTGTGTGTGCGTGTGTGCAGCTGGGGCTCAAGTCTGTGCCCCAGACTTGCGACTTACCCATCATGCAGCAGAGCAGCGTCGAAAGGGTCAACATTCTGATTGGTGGGGGCATCCACTGCCGTGTGTTTCTCGCTTATTGTCTGTTGTCTCTTTCTAAACTTTTTCGCTCTCTTTGTCGTTTGCTCCTTGAGTGTCCCGATTACTCGCACTGTATCGCTCGTACCGATACTTTCGCTTGCCCAGCTAGTTTTTGCTTAATTTCCACTATCGAGTTACAGTCTGTTAGCTCCAAGTGTTTTTATATCTGCACTATTATAGTTTTATTCTACTTTTTTTGCATTCTCACTGTAAACGATACTATTATTTGGATGCAGCCACCCACACACACACAACAGCAGCAATAGCAGCAGCAACGATAACAACAACAATTACAGCTCTCCTGCTGCTGCTGCTGTTGCCTCTCCGCCTGCTGCTGCTACTGCTGCTGCTGCTGTCGCCTCTCATGAATTAAACACTCGCAATGACATTTAAAACACTTAATTCCAACGGTAGACAATTTAATCTTTTAACGTTTGTTTGCTTTCAACCTTTTCCCGTTCGCTCTCGTTTGTTGTTGTTGTTGCTGCTGTTGTTGTTTGTGTTGTTGCCTAGGCCAAATATCATTATTTGTTTTTCCATTTCCTTTTTAGCCTTTTATTTATGCCATTTTGTTGTTGCTCTTTGTTGCTTTTTGCCATTCGAGTCTCACCGTTTTTTGTTGCCCCTGCCACAGTAAATTGATTTTGTCAGCTCTCTGAACTTAAATTGATTAAATTTATCATTGTTTTTATAATGCTGTTAGCCTGAACGCATTTACGCATTTCCACCTAATAAAATCAACTGATTGAAATCGTTGAAAAATACAAAAATAATACAATAAAAGGTGTGGCTCAGCATGTGTCTTCGTCTATATTGATCGTATGCATTATTCATACAAATAAAATATTTCTTTAGCTTTCAAAAATAGACTGAGTAGGCGTTGCAGAATATTTTTAATGCACAACTAAAATATCAAAGGTGCTGTAAAAATAAACTATTTATGGAAAAAGCTTAATTTATATTTAAACTATTACTAACACAAGTTTCTAAGAACTTTTCCAGCCTAACTTTCATCTGGAGTCGTTTCTCTCTTTTAAAATAAAAATCAATCGACTTGCTGCACGCATTCAAAGAGAAGCTCTACGCTCCTCTATAATTAGCAAAACTTTTACTTGGGGTGAATATTTCATGAGTCGAACCGACACGCGTGTCTGCCGGGCCAATCCGAAAATAAATCTGTTCACTAATAAAGGAATCAACGTTCCAAACATATCAGATGAATACGCAGTTATTTACATACATATTTGAGGCTATTTTATTGCATATGGGCGCCTGGGTCGAGAAGGGGATGCATGTTAGATTGACCTGGGACGAGCCCCCACGTCTCAAAGTAGAAGCCCGCCAACTGTCGCCTCGCCCCGGGGGCAACCTTTGACTACCCTTGGCTGCCTTGGCAATCCTCATATATATTCGAATTTATTCACATGATGTCGTCTAGGTATCAATCAGTTTGACCTGCGGCAGGTTCAAGTTTTCTGCCCCAGTGCTTGCTCCCTCAGCTCTGCCTCAGCCCTGTCTCAGCTCTGCTTGAGATTTGTTTGTAATTTGTTGATCCCATTGTTGGCTTTCAGTTGAGTTCGCACGGCACTTAGCGAAAGGTGGAGTGCAAAATTAATTAAAAGCTAATTAGTTGCAAATTTTCAGCAGTACCTTCAACTAATTACGAGCTATGGGCGGAGCTGGTCGGAGCGGGGTGGGGTGGGGCAGCGCTGAGGGCCAACTCAAAGGTACAATGACTGACAGCAGCTGATGCTGCCCTATGCTAGACTTCAATCAGCAGCAGAAGCCTCTTAGCCAGCTTAGCCAGTCCCTTGCACCGCGCACCGTCTCCGTTCCCCTGCCCGTGCCCTGTGGGCGCCACTTGTCACTGTTGCTTCCGTAATGGAATTAGAGACAGGACAGGCAGGACCAGGCACACAGCGAACTGACTGAAAGGCACGGGACCACGCTAGTGCTCCTGTGCCACTCAAAAGTGTTAACGCAGTCAGCTTCTTTGTGTTGTTGTTATATATATTTACACACACATACATATGTCGTGTGTATGTAAGTGTGTATGTGGCTTGGTAATTGTTGCCGAAGGCTATGAGAGCTGAAGATGAGTTCACTTGTCGCACTTTCTCTCTTATACTCTCCCTCTCTCTCCCTCTTTCTCTATCTGTCGCTATTTCTCTGCCTCTCTCTCTCTCTCTCTCTCTCTCTCTCTCTGAACGTCTGCAGTTTGTTGCTGAGCTCTTGACCACTTTCCTATCCCCTTTGGCGACGCTTAGAATTATGCTTAGTATCCGTGATTAGATGATGCGCCCTTCATTGTCCTTCCCCCACGCGTTTGGCCACTTCCGCATTGCTATTGCTCGGTGCTGCCCCGTGCGGTAGAGCCGCGCATTGTTCATGAATATTTTATTGATACAATGGCTATGTGTGTTGATTTTTGGTTGCTGTCCGTATTGTTTGTCTATTTAGCTAAATTGAAAACAATTTACCCTGATTTTCCTTACCATGCTCCTAATGGTCATGGGCCAATCGGGAGTGCTTTCACACTGCAGTTAAAACTAAATGCCAAGCATAATCAATAGTCGAGTACGACTACGAGACACCTGAACGCTTCGAACAGGGGATATTCGAATAATTACCCGCTTCTTCATACAAAGTCATCACATCGTTCTACAGTTGCTTCTCGAGCTGCGACTGCGCTCGAGTTGCAATTTCGGCTGCGCTATGCGAACATATTTGTTGGAGAACTATTGGTCCATTAGATGGACTTGTTTCATTTAACTTGCCGAGCATGGAAATAATATTCAAGTTTTAAATCTGCCAATTCGAAGTCTCTTTAGGTTAATCTTTGTACGAAATTTGAAGACTAACTTGATTTTTTGATTCGATTATTAATCGACAGTACTACGGAATAAGTTATCGATTATTTTGAATGAATTTCAAGTCTGAGATTCTGCGTTCACACGCACAAACAGGCAAACGGAAATAGGGTTATACCAAGCCCGTTCTGCGCAGAGATCAATATATACATATATAAGGACTACCACGCCCCTTCTTCCTGTTGTATACATTCCAATTAAAAGTATATATTTTCATCTTCCCATTTTCAATGGTGTCAGGGCATAAAAATAAAACGACCTCCGTTCCGAGTGGCATTTGAATAGTAATAAAATATTTATGCGAGCATTGAGCATTTCAATTTATGTATATTTACTGATTGAATTGCAAAATATTCAATTCGTTTTCTGCATCGTACACTTTCCGAGAGCTTGCCACTGAAAGGCTTGTCCCAATTTTCAGCTCTTTCTGACTTTTGTCTTGTGACAGCTCGAGTCCAGATAAAACAACAAAACGAACTTAGCACTTGGGTGTTTGTTTCTCTGTCGCCGCTTTTGCTGATGTGTGCACTTATTTTTAAGAACTCCGCAAAAGTTTTCTCGCCTGTCTTCAACTACTAAGTGCAACAATCAGGAGTAAACTTTTTGGCGAACAAAAGCAGCTTCAGCAGTAGCTGTTACTGTGCGCTTGTCTGTGAGACAACATGACGTATGTGTTATAAATTCGTTTACGCAACGCGCATACGCACTGTGCGCGCACTGATCTCAACCACCCCGCTTAGAGCCAACGCAGCGGCGTTGTTTAGCACATTCTTAAGTTAATTTCTTATGTGTTTTCTATTAATTTTTGTCACTCGTCCGCCACCGCCGAAGGCTATGAAAATATTGAATTACAAAATATTGCCGCTGGGGAAACGTGTGTACACAATTTGTTTTGACGCGCTTTCCATTTATCGGCCGTGCTAAAGATCAAAGACGATTTAGTACACTTTCGAGGTGCTGGTATTGAGTTCTGTTTTTAGTTTGTTAATTTATGTTGGTGTTGTGGAGCTGATGGGCTAAATATAAAACAACTTAATTTGCTGACTGCTAATGAGGCAGACTGCCGCGGAGGGGCGCGAGTGTGCTGCCAGCGGGATGGGGAGGGTAGGGCAGAGCAGGGCAGCAGCAAGTCGTTGTCGTTGTCGTTGTGTAGGCGTAAACACATTTTTATTTATTGTGTGTGAGTTTTGGTGCTTTTATTTTATTAGTTTCGTCTTTTGTCGCCTGCCACTGCTAACAAGTTGCGAGCACGAGGCGGGCACCGAAAAAAAAATCGCATATAATTCGAAACGATATCATAAAATATTCGCGTGCGTCGCGCGCTTTAGTAAACTGCCCCAAAAGACATAAGCTAACGGCAGTAACAACAATTCCAGCAACATTGCCAGCAACAATGCCAACAACAATAGCAACAACAATAGCAACAGCAAAAGCAACAACAATGGAGCCTTCAATTTCTTCTCCTGCCAAGCCGGCAATGAGGCAATGAGGCTTTTCCTGCGTTTTCACACGTTCAAAATTTACGACTTTGGCTTCTCTTTGAGTCGTTCTTGAGATGTTGGTCTCACACACTCACTCACATACATATGCACACTCACACAATCACGTACGATTTGCCACACTGGCGTCGATGCAGATACTTTTTGCTGCTCACGTTTTTATTTTTTAAACTCGAGTTTTATCAACTTGTTTTTGTTATCGAAATTGAACTTGGATCCGACTGGGGATTCTGATTCGCGCGCGTGACCCGCTGCGCCTATCTCGCATGTGCTCACTGTCGCAGTCACACACAAACTGAAACAGAAACTTATTTTGGGCCTTGCACTTGCCAGCCAACGCCGGACGAGTCTTAGCCTCCTCCATTATCAGGATGAAGCTTCGTGTTGTTGTCGGTTGTTGTTGCCCTCGTCTTCGTGCCTAGTGCCCATCGCCAGCCCTGCTGATTTCGTCGCCGATGTGTGACAAATCCGAACGCCAGCCCGTGTCGTCAATTCGCCACAATTTGTTTCTCTTCAGCACAAGTTGATGCTCTTCGTATTTCCCGAAATTGTGCTCTTCATATGTGGAGCCGTTAAACTGTTTAAAAGCATTTGGCAGCAATTGAAATTTTGTTAGCAATGCCACTGTTAGTGTGGAATAAAGGGCATAACAGTCGGGAAGGAATGAAGTCTATTTTTTTTGTTTTTTTTTTTTTTTAAGAGAAATTATAAAATATATTTATTTACAACTTAGCGCACCGCTACCTTATTGATAACTTAATCTAAACAGAATTACAATAATATATCTACTTAAAAGCTATATTAATATTAATATTATATATGGAGATATTTATGGTTAAATATGTACATATATTTCTGACAAATTTGGAGGTGTTAAGTCAGTAGGTGTATCCAGTAGGTCTTGAGGGTGGGAAGTCTATTTTTGATTAATAATAAAGTAGTTTTTATTTAATTATATATAAATAAATATATAAATTTATTAAATAACTAAAAATAAACAAAAATTTTGTTATACCCTGAACCCATTGAAAATGGGAAATCATAAAGTATATATATTCTTGATCAGCATGACGAGCTGAGTTGATATAGCCCTGT